AAAAACAGCATGTTTCACCTGCTGTTTTGCAGGTATGTTCCTGAAGTGCAAATAACATGCTGCTGTTTTGCAGGTATATTCCTGAAGTGCAAATAAATCAAAACTCAATTTTCTGAATGATATTTTAAATCTGCCATTCATTAAGCTCACCAAAGAGTCTTTTCATACAAATAATGACTTTTCTGTGTAACATAAATAACTTGCAAGAACTTCATTTTCTAATTTTGGATTTTTGTATTCTTTAAAACTAGGACACACCTCAACCTGAGTGCAAGAAAGTATTTCTACTCATAGAGGCAGACGTTACAAAGACAACTGATACCCAACTGCAGAGATGGTTTATGGAGGGCACGTCTCATCTTTGGAATCTGGAAAAACCGTATTTAAGAAAAACCCTCATAGGCTCAAGATGCATAAACTTATTCCTCCTATAGGGGTCTGCGCTACTCTGGAAGATCCTTCTGTTTTCTGCTAATGAAACACTTCTTTTTATTTTTTTAAAAAACATCCCAATCCAGTGAAGTCCAATTACCTTTTCAATGCACCTTCGAAGAGTGTTAATATTCCTGACCCACCAACCTATTCCCATGGCTCTCAACTCAGACCACTGAGGGTCCCCTCTCTGGATTGCAGGAATCATATTAATCAGTTCTTCCTCAGCTTCGGAGTGAAAGGCCCAGGCAAAATGGCAGGTAGACACACCTAAATTGAAAATATAAAACAACAACCTTCAGAACGATGTGAAAACTTATTTTTTCACATTGTTATATATTTGTTCTAGGAAGAATTTACAAGTAGAAAGAATAAAAAGAAGCTGGCTATTCAGGATTTTACACAATAAGCATCTGAATAAAAGATCACACAACAAAATTCCCTATCTTCTGCCCAAATATATACAGTATGGTTTGTTGTTGTTGTTGTCATTTGTTGTTGTTGTTGTTTTTACAAAGATACAGTGGCTAAAACGTAATCCTTAGAAAGAAAATATTTCAATATTGAGCCATTTTAAGGCACTCACATCTAAGTGCACCTAACTTATCAATAGCAAAAGAGTCTTTGGTCAGGTCAATAGCACTTCAGTCAAGTCAAAACACGTGCCTGGTTGTTTTTAAGATTCACTCGCTTGAGGACCATATCCTGTAGAACTCAATATTGAAAACTGCGTCATTCTTCCCTCTGGCCTTGGAGCGCTGTGTCACTGCCAGAAACACTCCACAGGCCATGGCAGTTTCAGAGAAGGGCGTCACAATCATGAAACCTTTAGCACGCTGGAGTCAAAGGTTGGCAGCCCAATGTTGCTAGTTGCTATTGAGTCAACTCTGAGTCACGGCAACCCCATCCGTGCACAATGGAACTGCTCCATCGGGTTTCCAATGCTGTGACCTTTCCAAAGCAGAGTAGACCTTACTTCCAAGGCACCTGCACCATCAACCTATCAGCTGGCAGTGCAGAGCTCAACCATTTGCATTATTCAGGGACTCCAGAGATACCTAATGCTGATGCTAAATGGCAAAATCTATTTCACCGGGTTGGAGACTAACAGAGGCATCTAAGTTGTACTGGGAGACAATAAAAGGGACTTACTTATGAGAAGGTACCCAAAAAAAAAACGGAAATTTTTTCAGAATTTTTTTTCAAAGCTATATATTCAATTTTCTTTTTACAAAACAACCTTATCACCTTCAAAGGACTCTCCATTACACTTAATACATTTGT